GACTTAGCACACACAACTTGGATATTGGTATGAAAAATCAAAACAAAACAAAACACTTTCCTGGCTGATATTATGCACCTGTAGGGTTGAGAACAAATACTCTAGACTCATCATCATTATCATTATTGGCATTATTGTGCTAAGGCAGGTTGTCTAAGAGTCTAAATAAAGCCAAGTTGGAATTTGGAGACAGTCCCAGGCAATGAGGGAAGACCTCAGTCTCTGATGATCTCATAAATAATAATCACCCTTCACATTAATACAGATTAACTCGCCAAACAGTTGAATGTGTACCAGCCTTGATGTGAGCTGGTCATGGCATTAAATAATTCTGAATCTCAACGTGACCCAAATGAGTCTCTCTTCAACTTTCTTTGAACCCTCTGATTCACAAAGGATTCACAAATCCTCCGTTTGGTGCTAGCATGTCTTTAACATCTCTCCAACTCTTGGCAAAAATCAGGGCATTGATTTGCACTGACCAAAATTTAAGTAACACTGACCTGCATCTTTGTCTCCATGGCAGCTAGAGAAATTGTGAAAGATCCATGTGGTTCAAGGTGATTTCAACCTACCAGGAGAAAGTGAATCTCAGAGGCTTTTGGTGACCTGCCCAAGGACTCAAGTCACTGCGTCTCCACCCTCTCCAGTTACAGCTTCAGTTCAGTCACTCAGTTATGTCTGACTCTTTGTGACCCCATGGACTGCAGCACGCCAGGCCTCTCTGTCCATCACCAACTCCCGGAGTTTACTCAAACTCATGTCGATTGAGTCAGTGATGCCATCCAACCATCTCACCCTCTGTCGTCCCCTTCTCCTTCTGCCTTCAATCTTTCCCAGCATCAGGGCCTTTTCCAGTGAGTCAGCTCTTCCCATAAGGTGGCCAAAGGATTGGAGTTTCAGCTTCAACATCAGTCCTATCAATGAATATTCAGGACTGATTTCTTTTAGGATGGACTGGTTGGATCTCCTTGCAGTCCAAGGGACTCTCAAGTCTTTTCCAACGCTATAATTCAAAACCACCTGCTCCAACTTAGTATTTAATGAAAATCATGCCAACGGAGGGGGTCCTTCACCTCATAACTGGGAGACAGCCATTGGACTTCATTCTTACTGTGATCTCAGAGTAAGGGCCAAGCAGGTCCCACTAAGCGGGCAAGGGAAAGAGAAGGCATACACAGTAGGACAAAGAACCTGGAACTGTGGAGAAGAGTAAGACTCAGTGGTTCAAGAAATTGATTTCAGGAGGGATGTGGAGAAAAAAATTGGTTCAAAAAAGAAAGAACCTTCTATTGCAGCCAAGGCTGCAACAAGAGACAGTGAGAGACTCACCCTCTCCATCACTTCTTTTTTTTTTTTCTTTTTTCCATTTATTTTTATTAGTTGGAGGCTAATTACTTTACAATATTGTAGTGGTTTTTGTCATACGTTGACATGAATCAGCCATGGATTTACATGTATTCCCCATCCCGATCCCCTCTCCCACCTCCCTCTCCACTCGATCCCTCTGGGTCTTCCCAGTGCACCAGGCCCGAGCACTTGTCTCATGCATCCAACCTGGGATGATGATCTGTTTCATCCTAGATAATATACACGTTTCGATGTTGTTCTCTCGAAACATCCCACCCTCGCCTTCTCCCACAGAGTCCAAAAGTCTGTTCTGTACATATGTGTCTCTTTTTCTGTTTTGCATATAGGGTTATCGTTATCATCTTTCTAAATTCCATATATATGTGTTAGTATACTGTATTGGTCTTTATCTTTCTGGCTTACTTCACTCTGTATAATGGGCTCAGTTTCATCCATCTCATTAGAACAGATTCAAATGAATTCTTTTTAAAGGCCGAGTAATATTCCATGGTATATATGTACTACAGCTTCCTTATCCATTCGTCTGCTGTTGGGCATCTAGGTTGCTTCCATGACCTGGCTATTATAAACAGTGCTGCGATGAACATTGGGGTGCATGTGTCTCTTTCAGATCTGGTTTCCTTGGTGTGCATGCCCAGAAGTGGGATTGCTGGCTCATATGGCAGTTCCATTTCCAGTTTTTTAAGAAATCTCCACACTGTTTTCCATAGTGGCTGTACTAGTTTTCATTCCCACCAACAGTGTAAGAGGGTTCCCTTTTCTCCACACCCTCTCCAGCATTTATTGCTTGTAGACTTTTGGATAGCAGCCATCCTGACTGGTGTGTAATGGTACCTCATTGTGGTTTTGATTTGCATTTCTCTGATAACGAGTGATGTTGAGTCCATCACTTTTTCTTTTGTTTGCATAAGATACAATCTTCCCTTCATGGTGTTGATTTTTCTCTAATATGTAAGGATTCTGGACAGCAGGCTCAGGACTGGGGACAGAATTCTCTTACATGAAGAGGTGCTGGGAGCTCCAAAGATGCTTCCAACGCTGGAACCCTAGTTAGTCCTCAGACCGCTGGGGGAGACAAGTTCGTCTCCTAGGTCACCTCCTCCTTCTCCTCCAATAACAACTAATCTTTGAGCTACAGCGTGGCGGGTGGGGAGCTGAACCAGATGAGGCGATTGCATGTGAATCCAGATTAAATCCTGGAGGGAATATCTGCACTTGTTATTGGGATGTGATTTACTCTTGGCCAACAACAGGCATTTTAAAGCCTCAGGCTGAATTTAGGGTCTGGCCACTTGAGGGACAGCCACTACTACTCAGGTCAGAGGCCCCTCAGGCTACCTAGGGTGCTTGTCACATAAGCAAATCTTCCAGCCCACCTCTCAGCAGGGTCTGTTAGTCATGGTCTGATTGCAATGGTGGAGATCCACAGGCTATATTTTAGCAAACACTGACCAGGGGTGTCTCAGACAGTCTTGACCCAGGGAAAGGTGGGCAGTGGGAAAGTGGGGGATGCTCTTGGCCAGGATGTGGGGGCAGGTCCAGGAAGCACTGAAAATCCTTTTCCATTGTACATTCCTGAGAAGGAAGCAGGGCAACCTGGAGCTCCAGAGGCAACAGATAACACTCATAGACAGAGTCTCAGAGACAAGGCTCCTATTCATAATAGGCTTCTATTCATAACAGAATCAAAGGATTTTAAAACAAGAAAATGCACTGACAGTAGAACTTAGTGGTTAAGGGGCTTCCCTAGTGGTTCAGATGGTAAAGACTCTGCCTGCAATGCGGGGAACTTGGGTTCGATCCTTGGGTCGGGAAGATCCCTTGAAGAAGGGAATGACTGCCTACTCCAGTATTCTTGCCTGGAGAATTCCATGGACAGAGGAGCCTGGTGGGCTACAGTCCATGGAGTTGCAAAGAGTCAGACATGACCAAGCAACCAATTTTCACTTTTCACTTAAGAGTCAGCCCTACTCAGGGTCTGACTTCTTTACTTGCTAACTGGATAACTGACATCAAGGTATTTTACTTCTTGGAGCTTCTTTTTCTTCACTGAGTAGATGGGACATGTTAGAAAATACAAAGGTTCCTGGGACTCCTGCAACATATAAATGAGTCAGTGCATTTAAAGGACACGGCACTGAGTCTGGCACACGGTAAGGGCTTTATAAACTCTTATCATCATTACCAGGGTGATAGGATGTTGCAGCCAAAAGTGATCATAGAGGTCATCTAGTGAGTCCCATGCCAATGTCATGACTACTGGCTGGAAAGGAATCAATAAAGGAAGAAGGCACTTAAGTTCTATGGCTCCCTTAGCTCAGCCTCTCTCTACCCAGTTCTCTGGTGGTTGCTCCCCAGCTAAGGGAAGAAGCACATTTGTCATCAAGGGAATTTGTAGAGACCCTCCTACAGTCTCTCCAAGCCTGAGAACGTCACCTTGCTGCCTTGACTGTCGCTCACTTTGCCGAGCTCACAGGCCAGTTGTCTGCAGGCCCCAGCAGGCTCAGCCAAGGACAGCAGGGTTGCATTCCCCCTCCCCTTGCTCCAGCATTTAATCAAAACAGTATTCAAAATATGATTCTGGGAGATTATGTTGGGAGATTTGCAGGAGGCTCTCAGTGGGGGCAGAGATAGTGGGAGCAGATTGCTGCCGGGGGCCGGAGGCTGGGATCGCAGGCTCAGACTCGCCATTCTCAGGCCTTTGGCTGTACTCCTGGAGCCGACCACCAGAGCACCGAACCCTGAGCACAAGGATGGAGAACTAGATTATATCCGTACTTGACTGCTGGGGCAACTAAGAGAGGGCAAAGGGCTTGTCCACGGCCACATATGGAGGGAGTAATGGGCTTCCTAGGTGGCTCAGTGGTAAAGAATCTGCCTGCTAATTCAGGAGACACAGGAGAGGTGGGTTCGACCCCTGGGTTGGGAAGATCTCTTGGAGGAGGGCATGGCAAGCCACTCCAGTATTCTTGCCTGGAAAAATCCCATGGACAGAGGAGCCTGGCAGGTTGTAGTTCATGGGATTGCAAAGAGTAGGACACAACTGAACATGCAATGCAATGGGATTGAGGTGGCCAAGCCATTTCCTGGGATTGAAGGCTACTCTTTTTGGCCCTTCTCACAATCCAGCCAACCAGTCCCAGCTCTTTGGGACAAGCTTGGACTACAGGCTCCTGCTCTGGGATGTGGGAGGTAGAGAGAGGCTGGATCCTGTAGATAAGGTCCTGGATGGTACCTGGACCTTCTTTTCTGAGGTTCAGGGTCCTACAGAAGCTGCATGACTGGAGGCAGGGTGCAGGTAAACCCTCTGCCCACTACCATCCTCCATATACTCTGCATCCTAGTCCCAGTTCAGTCACATGACCTTGATGTAGGTGAGTCTTTTCTCTCTGGCATTCACTTTCCCATCTGGAAATCTGACTCCATGAGATGCTACCACCCCTCTCCCCTCCACAGAATGGCTAGCAGATGCCCCACTTCCAACTGGAGGCCCTAGGAACTAGCTTCCGTAGCCTGGCAGTGGGGTGGGGCTGGGGTGGGTAGGGGTGGGTTTACCTGGCCCCCTAGGAGGGGGTGGGGTCCAGAGTGCCTTGAAAGAAACCTCTAGCTAATGCTCTTTATTACAAGCGTTAATCCCGCAAAGCCGACTGGAAATAATGTTTATCTTTTCGCAGTTTAATTTCCCAGACCCTAAGCCGCCGGACAGTGAGGGCGACTGGAGGGTCCCCGGAGAGGCTGGGGGTAGGAGCAGCTGTCACCCGGGAGCAGAAAGAAGGCAGGGAGGGGGTTTCCCAGAGGAAGGGGGAGAGGAGTCAGAGCGAAAGGGGGCCTTGGACGCTGAGTGGAGAGTTGGATTTAACTTCACCACGGGTTCTCTACGACCCTGAGTCAGCCCCTGCCTTCCCTCAGTTTCCTCATCTGAGGAAGGGGTTTGTGCTTTTGTAATTCATTATCTCTGACTATTCTATAGACAACAAAGCAGAGTGGGGCGCGGGGAGGTGGCCTGTTCCCCTTGATTTTTTCAACACCCACTTTTCCTCTCTGCAGCCTCCAAGGTTCTTAAAATCTCCTCTCAAGTCTGGATCCTTCCCGTCCCAGACTTCAGTGACCAGTCTGCTGGCGCTGCGCTGGTCTGAAAGACTGTCACCCAGCCACTGCCGGAGGGGCTGGAGCCCTGCAGCGGAGACACGGCCCCTAGGCGCACACCCCGGCAGCCCTCCGTCCTGCCTCCCGGTCCCCATCGGCTCCCCCGGACCTCCCAGCAGGGCACCGTCCCGGGTTCGTCTCCCTCTTTCCTCTCGCGCAGCGGCGAACGCACTCGCGGGCTAAAGCCGAAGCCACTGGGCCGGGGACACGAACTCAAGGCTCTCACCTCCGCCCGTCCGCACTCCTCAGCCCTAGTCTGGACGCTGCTCACTCCGGGGACAAAGCCGCTTTCCCCGCTCATCGGCTCCCATTGGTTGGCCTGTACCGGAAGTGTTTGCTGACACTTGATTAAACGGGAAGGATGCCCTCTTCTCGCTTCTAATCGACCCAGCAAGCTGTCCGACTTGGCCGTTGGGTCAGAGGGGTGGAGCGCGCCCAAACACTGCCGAGAGGACCCCCATCACTCCTCCTCCCAAGAAACTTAAAACCCAAGTACGAACTCGGAAATCAAATCCAGCTTCTACCCAAATAACCTGACAGCTCTCCTCTCCCCTTTCCTGCCCCAACCCCAAGTTGCGCCCTCGTTCCCCACCTTCAACTCCCCGGAATCAGCCGGGAGTCTCACGCGATCTCCGACTTCGTTGGGTCCGCAAATTTTGGTGGGTCTTGGCCATTACCTTGTCAGTTTCTCTCCCAGCTACAAACGGGCCTGAAACCTGCAGCCCACGCCGCCCTGTCTCCAGAATCCCTGACGGCATCCCCTTCTCCCCACCACCCCAACCCCACCGAGTTCCCCAGTTGCAAACAGGCCACACAGCTTGGGTTCGGTGGATTATCTTTAAGGACGCAAAGAGTGAGAAAGGGGAGGAGACACGCGTGGTCCTTAGGAGCCAAGTCAGCATTGAAGTTACAAAGTGAGGGTGATGGGGTGAGTGAACAGGAGAGGGAGTGGCTTGAGACCTGAATCCAGAGGGGAGAGGCAGACCAGAGTGTTGAGCTGGGTGCCCTGGGCACACTCGCCCAGCCTTCCCACTTGACCTTCCCCAAGGTGCCCTCCCACCTCCTCCAGGGATCTGAAAAGAGGGACCTCTGCCAGCCACTCCCCTCTGCGTGCCAGGAGGGCCATTCGGAGTATTTCTATGTGTCTGTCTCTTAGGCGAAGTGAGAGCCCCAGACCCTGGCGAGGTCTCTTAGCTTCTTAGTGTGGAGGTGAGTTCCAAAAAGCAGGGCTTATTTCCAGGACGCTTCTGCTAATGGCAGCCATTGCGCTAACCTGCTGAGAGAGGAAAGGTTGATTAAAACCCACAGGCCACTCAGGGGCGATTCCTAGGAAATCTGAGGTCGGTGGTATCTCATTCCAAGGCAATCCAAGGTCTAGAGGCAATTTGCTTGCCAGAGGTAACATTTGGACCCTGTTAGGTGGAAATGCAAATTAACAGTGTAACCCAATTTTCTAAGCTAGTAGTTAATCCTGAGAGAAATGACTTCAAAGAGCAGAATCTGATGGTAATTGCTGGAGGCTTCCAAATGCTTTGGGAATGTCCCTTTGTGGGGTGAAATTCCCTTCCAACCCAACATAGCCAGTGAACCAGTTAATCAGCCAGGTGCAGGAGACAGCTGATTGGCAGTCCTATCCAGCTTGGGGGTAAGACCGGCCCTACACAGACAGCACTCACCTGAACTACACCCCTAGGGATTTCAGTGGGCTGCATGGAGAGCTTCTGGCCTTAAGCACTGGCCTTGAACCGACTGTAGCTATCTGGCCTTTCCCCTGAGACTTCTGGGAAAGCCCTTGTGCCTGCCCAGCCCTAGCAAACTCTTGGTACAAGACCATAAGGGGAGCCAGCTGTCCTCCTCCAAAGGGCAGGAAGGGGACAAGAATGTCTGGGCTAGAGGGTCATGACCATGCCCACCTGGCACATCTGGAGAGATCTAAACAGTGGAGAGATCTAAGCTGTCCTCTTCAATGACTTTCTCAGTGTTTCCTAGGTAAGCTACTGTCTCATTCTAGTGTAATCTAGTATTTGGTTTTAAGAAGATTCAGGAGCTAGAACTTTGATCTCTAAGGTTCTGTTTCAAGGAGTTAGGTGAGACACTCGAGCTAGGCTAGGTCTGAACCTTGGCAGAGAGCCTGTGCAGCGGCTGGGTACTCCGGAGTTGGGGTACGGGGAGTGGGGTGAGGGAAGGTGGGAAGGGGAGGGGTCTTTTGGTCAGACACTCCCAGCGCCGTTGGGGGCCCACTACCTTCTGCTCCGGATGGGTACTGGCACCGAATCGCCGGCTCTCTCCGCCGCGGGCACGGCGCACAGTTCAGCGGCAGACCCTGTAGGGCAAACGTGGGGTTTCCAAAGGCTTTGGCTACTCGGGGAGACTCTTGGCACGCGGAGTCTCTGGGGACCGCGGGTCGCACGCCCGGGCCTGGAGGCTGTCCGCGAATCAGATGGTGCTCAGGACTTCGTGGCTGGGGCAGGTTTGGAGGTGCCCCTTCGACGACGACGCTGGCGGCCGCTGTGTGCGCCAGAGACCAAATGCGCGATGGTTTCTCGCTGCAGGGGTAGTGCATGGTCAACGTGGGGCCTCCTGGCTCGGCCCGGAGGAAGTCGGCTTCTCCGGATCTGGGGGGCTCAGTGAACGAGAAGCGGGGTGCCGCCAGACTGCACTCCCTGCGCTCCGGCCGGCCCTCTCGAGCGGCCGTACATTGCGCCGCCGGCAGCGACTGAGTGTCTTTATGGAGCTCAGCCAGTCTGTCCGTAGCTGTGGCCACTGCCTCCTCTTCATCCGCCTCCTCTTCCTCTCCTTCCTCCAGGTCTTCCAGGTCACTCAGCCGGAGCCCCCGGGCCTCCTGGCCAGCAGTAACGTCTGAGGGAAATCAAGAACGAGTGAGAAAAGCCCTCGGCCCCAAGGGAAATCCTCGGGAGTGCCCCTCCCCGAGAAGCTTTTAGCAAGATGTGCCCTGCACTCAGGGAAGACTCGGTGTAATTCACCAGGATGGCCACACCGCCTCCGCCACTTGCCCCCAGAGCTGCCGGCCTGAGGCTGGGAAAGAATTAGACCTGCTCTCACCCTTAGACCTGCTCTCACCCTTCAGAAGAGCCCTCCCCTTTGATAGCCCAAGGAAAGGGACACTTTTCCCTAAGACCTGGATCTGTTTCGCAGCCTTAAAAAAGCAGAGGGCAGTTTTTATCCAATTTAAACACTCACCGGTGGCTGGTGTGTATTATTTAATTCAGAAAATATTTACTGAGCACCAGCTATGTGCCAGACATCATTGAGGCATTTTATTAGGAATTTAGAGACTACAGCAGTGGAGGCTCTCTCTGGTGGAGCTGACATCCTTAAGAGGGTAAGTATGCCACAGGAAATAAAAGTAGGCACATGTGGTAGAGAATAACTTAGGAAGTTAGCTGGTGTGGGTGCACAGGGAAGGCTTTTTGGAGGTGGTGCTTTCAAGTCTAAAAGGCAGTTCCCAGATCCGTAGGGAATTCCAGGCAAAGGGAACTGATTGCACAGGCAAAGGCCCTGAGGCATGCAGGGGTTGCAGGTGTGAAAGGAAGCCAGGGGACGACTTCCACAGAAGCTACGCCATGGGGTGGTTGTGAAAATCCAATCAAACTGTTTGATGATTGGAGAACCCAGGTAAGTTGGGGCAGGGAACATGGGGTACCTTTGGTGTCACCATTTAGGCAGCCCAGCAATTCCTCTGCTCCACCCTCTTCCTTCCTTTCTTCCCCGCCTTTGTTCTTGGGTGCCCAGGTCATCTTGTTCTCCTTCTTGAGGCGCCGGCGCGCGTTGGCGAACCAGGTGGACACCTGGGTGAGGGTCATCTTGGTGATGATGGCCAGCATGATCTTCTCGCCCTTGGTGGGGTAGGGGTTCTTGCGGTGCTCGTTGAGCCAGGCCTTGAGCGTGCTAGTGGTCTCTCGGGTGGCGTTCTTTCTGCGCCCAGCACCACTCAACTCCACTGTTCCATACCTGTGGGGAGAACCTGGCTCATAGTTCTGGGGCTGGGAACCTGGGGCTGCAGGCAGGAGACAATCTCTGTCCCTGAAGGAAGTGAGGTTCTGCTCACCATCCTAGCACACAGCCGTCCCCCACCCCATGCTCTGTGGATTGGTCCTACCTTGGCAGGGGAGGAGAAAAGAGCTTGTGATGCCAGCCACCAACGCCCCATGCCTTACCGATCATACTGGTATTGCCCCAGTGTTGGCTCATAGGGGTAATAGGCTCCTGGTTGTGCCAGGCTGGATGTAAAGTTTCCGGCAGCCTCCTTAAATTCGTACTGTGGATTCTGGAGGGGGAGGAGGGAAGAAATAAGGACTACATTTGGGGAGGAGGAGGTGGGGTGGGGAGTTGCTAAGGGTGTCAACTCTGGAGTCAAGTCTGGTTAGAACTGCAGCACCACCACTCGCATTGACTGTGTGATCCTGGGCACAGCTGTTTAACCCCTCTATGTCTCAGTTTCCTCTTGGTAAATGGGATGACAATCATGCCTAAAGGTTACTGAAGAACATGCTTGGACGAATTCCTAGTGCAGCATAAGCAGTATTCACTGTCATTTAACTATTACTACTTGTGTCCCCCCCAACCGCCTCCCAACAGCTGGGGCACTTTCTTATTCCCTTTCTGGAGCCATTCTCCACCTCCTATCTCTGTGACTTTGGGTAAGATTATTCCAGCCACTGTGAACCTTAGTTTCCTCATCTGTACACTGAGCCTAGTGATGACTTGCCTACTTCACGCAGTTAATCGAGGTACAGATGTTTCTTAACCAGGATGGACTTCTACAAACTGTAACATGTTGTAAAGATGTTTTATTTATTTATTTATTTTACTTTATATAGAATCCTAACCATTGCCTTTCCTCGAAGTGATGTTGTACGTCCTAGATTTTCCTAGATGGAAACATCACAGGGGATTTCGCCCCTGCCGCTCCTGCCCCCAGACGGGTGGGTTCTGTCGCGCGGACCCAGGCTCCACCCCGGGTACTCACCAGCGCCCCGTACAGCGCCGGCGGCTCGGGGCTGTAGGGCAGGTAGCCTGGGTAGCTCTGGGCAGCTGCAGCGGCCGAGTAGGGAGCTCCATAGATGCCCAAGGCCGCGCCCAGCTCGGGCCTCGCGCTGCCCAGCAGCCGACTGTCGTAGGGTGCGCAGCAGAGCGCGGCCGCCGGGGTGGAGCCCGAGCCCACATCTGGGACCGAGCGCGGGGCGGATTCGCAGCAAGTGGCGCTGGAACTTGCAGACACCAGAAACTACGGGGGCGAGAGAGGGGGCACCGGAGGTCAGAGACCGGCGCCTCGGGCTGGCGGGAGCCAGCGGCGGAACTGCCAGTTCAGTCCTTCCTTCAATATGAACTTAATTCCCCCTTGTGCTGAGCGTTCTCCTGAGGACTCTGACGGAAATGATCCGTAGACGCCATTTAGCCAAACCGCCTTTATAGACACTCGTAAAGCTTTGCTAAAGCTCCAGAGTTCCAGGGGCTCCGGGTCATGGGAAGGTTCTGAAACCCGAATTACAAAAGTCAGACTCGGCCAGTTCCCTGGTGAACCCTCCCTCCTCGCAGCCACAGGATCCTACCAAGGCCGAACTTGAAGTTTGCCTTAAAGACCCCGTCTCACTCTTCCTACTTTATAGATAGGGAATGGGGACTACGGAGAATAGGAGGCTTATCCGAGGTCACAAAGCAGGGCAGAGGTCAAGCTGGGGCTAGTCCTTGGGCTCTCTGCTGAGAAACTGAACAGGGGTGGGCGTCTCCAGAATTTCCCCAGGAGACCCTGTCATTGCACAGTGCCCACCCAGATCTGGAAAATCGAAGGAACCCGAAGCCGAGAGCTTGGACCTACCCATGGAAGGGAGAGGAGAAGAACAGAGGATCACAAACGAACGAGCCCAGAAAAAGAGTGAGACAGAGTCGGGGACCCTGCCGTCCACCTCGGATATCTGTACAGCAGGAGGCCTGTCTGGAAGGTTCCGGAGATCCCACCCACCTCGCGGAGCGCGAGGTCAGAGTGACCAAGTTTCGGGTCACACGATTCTTCAGCTTGCCTGGGGGAGCGGCGCATTCTCTGCCAGGGATGGGGCATGTCAGAGGGGTCTGCGGTACACTACCCAGGTTCCTGCTCTCTCTGGCTTCCCTGGGAACTCGTGGGAGAGGAGGGCTTTGCGGGCAGGTTCCGGCACTGGGCTCTCCTTCCTTCCAGTCTGCCCCCATCCCCCATGGGGGCGGCTCTTACCTGGGAAGCACCGCCGTAAGGGTGTCCAAAGTGCGGGAAGGACATTGTGACTGTCCGTGACCCCGCCGCCCTCTTCTCTTGCGGGTTGCCGCCTCAGCCCCGCGGTTCTGCGCCTCCAGCCGTCCGCGGCCTCGGTTCCTTACACGGTCGCCGGTGCCTGGTGTTGGGTCCTCCGCCGGCTTGGCGTGGCTGGAGGCAGAGCCGAAGGCAGCCCGGCTGCCGAGCCCTGCGCTCCAGAAGGCTCCCCTCCGGCCCGCGTGGTCCGGAAGACAGAAGGGCCCATGGATGGGCAGGGGAAGGGAGAGGATGCGGGTTCCCAAAAGCGCGCGGCGGCGAGGCCAGGTGAGGCGCGGTGCGGGGCTGTGCGGCTCCCGAGGTGCCCCAGTCCAAGGTGGCCAGAGGCTCAGTGTGACGTCACGGTAATCCCGGGCCGCCAGGCGGGCCCCCGGGCCCTGGGGCCCCGGGCCACCAAGCCTGCCAAGCGCAGCCAGCCCGTGTGCGCGCGCGCACTCTTAACCACACTCACACTTGTTCCGGGAGGTTTGTGCAGCTGGTGAGGAACGTCAAAGACCCTAACCCTCTCTGCTTGGCGCAGGATCCTACCCCTTTTCGCCTTAAGCTCACGCGCGCGCGCACATACAATCTCTCCAAATTACCCGGGAGAAGTAGGAGAAACGCCTCCCACCGCGCCGCGCAGGCCCCGGGCGCAGCGCGCCTACCTCCTCCCCTGCGGCCCGGAGGAGGAGAGAAGCGCCGGGCGGCGAGGGAGGAGAGAATACAAAAGAAGAGACAGGAGTAACAACAGGAGGAAAGTGGGGGAGAAAGGCTAGAGGGAGAAGGAGGAGGGGAGAGGAGAGGGATGAGGAGTCTGGGCGAACAGAGGCGCGCGGGGGAGGGGAGGAAACAGGGGTGGGCGAAGGCTGGGCGGTGGTGGAACGCTGGCAGGTGGAGGAGCGCAGAGGCTCGGGGGGACAAGCCTCCAGCCCGGCCCCCCACCTCCCACCTCCGCTGCAGGAAAGTTTGTTCGCGCCGCGGGCCCCCAGCTCGTTGGGGGCAGCGTCGGTGGATCCACTGTTCGGCCGTCTTTTGTCCTCGGGGGCCTGGCTCCCCGCCCTAGGACTTTAGCTCGATCCAGGATCTCCATGACCCGGTCTTTACTAGGGTCTTGACCCCAGGGTTCCCCTGTTGCTCTCTGGTCCTCCAATAGACCGAATAGCGCCCCCTCCAGGTCAAGTTCAGATCTCCCCCTCGGACTGTGTGGGGAAAGGCGCCAAGTTGGACCCCCCTGGGCATCTGCAGACCGCGGGCGGAGACCCCTGGGCGTCTTATCGGAAGGCGAGGCTTGGCTTCCTCGTGCGCGCCTCTCGCTGGGTCCACGGGGGACCGGGGAGCCGCACGAAGGTGCTGGGGCCGGGCTGCAGCCGCTGCGCTCCGCTGGGGGTGGCGCTGGCGAGCCACGGTTCAGCGCGCGGGGAGGGCGGTCGGTTCCCTGCGCTCCTCTGGGTCTCCTGGCTGGGCCCCGCGATCTGACCATCCCCTGCATCCCAGGGGCCCTCAAAGGGGCACTGATGGCGGACGAGCTCATTGGTGCCTGGGAGGGGGCTGTGTCCTCTAGTCCTGGCCCCCAGGCGAGGGGCCGCCAGTTTTCGAGTATGGGAGAAACTGGACTCCTGAAGGCTCAATCCCCGGGCCTCCTGGGGCCTCCAACCCCAGGACATCTGGGGGCGTAAAGGGGTTGTCAGTCCGGTGGGAGGAGGTCTTCCGGGGATGCTGCCGGCATGCAAGTGGAACTCTAGGGTTTTCAGGTTTGCAAGCCAGACACCTCAGATTGTCTCAGAATGTCACTCCAGGGGTCACCGAGCTTTACATCTTACAAAAACGCTCTCCCAGTCCGTCTCTGCGCCTTCCCAGAGGAACCGGGGGTGGTTGTTCAAGGGCCTAGCTTTACTTTCTAGCTGAAACGCAAAAACATGTGGCCTGGAGGTTAAGAACACCCCGGATCTCTGACCTGGGTTCTGGCGAGGCAAGGAGGAAGCCCAGGGACGGGTAAGGTCTGGGTCCCTGGCCCCAGCCTTCCTCAGGCACCTTTCAGCGGAAACTAGTAGGCCCGGAAGTCAGCGACCTCTTTAGAACGACACCGGCTTCTTTTTTTCTTTACAGATTCTGCAGAACGCACACCGAGCTTGAATAAGCCGCAAACCGCAGACTCCCACCGCCTAAGAGATTATTAACAGGAGCACCAGATCCATTCCAAATACGAACAAACCCAGCGAGGTTTCCTGGCTGCGGCTACTGCATGTCGTTACCTTGGAGAAACCTTGCGTTCAACCCGGGAAAATCCTAGTTAGAAGAATTACTGTTATCGCCAGATTGATTTAGTGATAAAAATTCACCGTAAAAGATAAGATTCCTTGATTTTTCAAAATGCACTTTGGAGCCATCTACACGTTTGCAGCTGGGATACATCTATTTTTTTTTTTTTAAGTAAGAATTGGAGAGAAGTCATTAAATTAGTCCCTTGGGGAAGATTACCGCTAATTAATTAATTGCAAACATTTCCAGAGGGAAGGTATGTCAATTGTAAAGTAATAAAATTAGGTAGTTGAAATACTTACTCAGCAACTTTGATTGCCCATTCATTTCTAAGCAGAATTTTTTTTTTTAAATGACAGAAAAATGGGGAGGGTGATGAAGAAAAAGCATTAGTTCCGTCCCCTGGTGATCTGGTTGCAAAGGAGAAACTACCATATAGGATTTATTGATTTTCAGCTGATTTATAAGATCTCTGTGGTATCTGTGTGCAAGGCCTCCAGGCCTACTTCTTGTATTCCCTCTCTAGGATTCAAAAAAAGGAACATGATTTGGGAAAAAAAGAAAAGAGGAGGAAGAACAGTGGTGAAGTGAATTGGGAGGTGTGACTATAAATGCTTCAGCATTTTCTTCATCTGCAGAAAAGAAAACAAACAAAAGAGCCAGTTTTCTGTTAAGGCATCTTTCTTTCTATTGTGTTCTAAGTTGCTTTAAGGTATAAGAATGTCTTGGAGAGGAAGGCTGCTCTTTCCAGGCATGGAGACCTTGATTTCACATTGCTTTCCTGGAGAGAGGCAGCACTCAAAGCAAGCCCACTTGCTGCCACTGACATTTGATTGTCGCCGCCTTAAGCATTTAGTGGGGTTCCCTAAAAGTGTTCCTATGAAGCTTGCCTTTTCCCATTATTTGGGGGCCCTCATTACAAAACCAAACCATCAGGTTCAACCAGTATCAACTTCTGTCTGGCAGAAACCTTGGGTGAAAAGGAGTGTTTCCTGGAAAGTGATTCAAGGAAGCTGCCACGGAATTTGCTCTCTTCCGGACTTGTTGACAGGCAGTCACATCGACAGCCAAGTGCCCTGAGCCTCTCCACCGCGCTGGCTTTTCATTGCTTTGTTCAGCCCTGATTCATTTAGTTTGGGGAGAACTGCCCAATTGTCTGTGTATCCATATTGAATTTTACTGAAGCAAGTAAATAAACCTATCAAATACAGACCCAATTGTATTTAAGGGAGTCATTCCACCTTGTTTTATATAGATGATACAGATTCTTTTGTTGTATTATACCACATACCCTGATAGCGCCTCTAACTGCTCATTAAAACAAATCTGAAACAGTCAACAGTCAAAGGCCTCTTTGGAGCAGGGAGAGTACTAATCTGACATTGTTTATTTGAAGTTCAGGTTGCTTTGATTGAAATGTACTGAAGGTCTTGAGCAGGCAGAGTAAAGGATGTGTCTTGATAGTAAACCTTAATTCAGGTGCCACACACAAAAAAAAGAAAAGAAATCATACTGTACTATTTTGAGTATTTTAAATATTTCTGATTTCCTAATGATTTAGAAAGACAACAGATTTTACAGGGAGAGGATGATAACTGTAAAATGCCCCAAATCAACTTTAGATGCCTCAGATCATAGATGGAGTGTGTGAGTATATGGATAAAATAACACTGATAAAAATGTGCTGTTATATTTTTTTAAGTATGAATTTTTTTAGTGACTGTTTTTGAACTGAGAAGGATGACATCTCCTCACATCTATGCATGAATGAACAAGTGCATCTGGACACGTGCATCTATAATTTATACTGATCAGTCACCATGGGTCTCCCTGAGTAAAACCGAAATGAACACTAATTGTTTTGACGGAAGTAGTGTGCATGGCATCTGATTGTGAAACACAGCGAGCCCCTGCCTTGCCTGAATACATATTGTCAGCAGCAACTCTGGCATCAGGAGAGGAAAATAAAAAGGCAATAATTCCCAGATGAGGGTGTTGATGTTGCTTGTTAGGAAGGTGGCAAATAGAAAGAATGAACTTCTAGATAAAGTGAAAAATGAGACAATGCAGAGATCCTGGTGTGTCAGCAAGCCAGGTACAAACCTGAGCTCAGACTTAAAATATTGTAGCTTGGTGATAATAACATTCCTTTGCATTTGTAGATTCTTGGGAGCTATCCTAAACACCTCTGCTTTATCTTATTTAAGGCTCTTGATAAGGAAATTGAAAAGGTGGGAAGCAAACCTCAGATCACACAAATGAACAGATGACAGAGGAGGAAGCAGAACTGCAGTTTGGGTCTTTCCACAAAACCTTATTTCAAACATATATAAAGTCAGATATAGCTGGAGATGTACTGCCCTGGAATAACATAATGTAATTTAGCCCAGAAATATCTAAAGAGACACCACAGTAAGAACATCAGTTAAGTCTCTACTACATGCTTTTATATCAACTTGTTTTATGAAAGAGCTTATGTGATAATTTAAGAGTTTTAGAAATTTGATGAAGATCATTAATTAAAATAGAAAATGGCAAACAGACCCATCTGTGATGGCTAAGAATAATAATAATTTAAAATCCCAGCAGCAACAAAAAACTTCTTAAAAAATCCACCCAGGATTGTGTCTATATATCTATAATGGTTTATAAAACAATTAATGCAGTTTGGTTAGTGACTGTGTCAGAAAGATATATATGTATATGTGTGTGTGTGTGTGTGTGTGTGTATG